CGTTCTAACAGTGAGATTAGCAAAAGCCCCGGCTGAGGCAGAGCCCAGGAACCATTTTTGTCTCCAGTATCGACAGCTGCTGTGAGTGTCTCAGACAAATCATCTTAGATGAAGAGATGAGTTGGAGGAAAAAGGGCCTCGGTGTCAGTGAATTAAGTGTTTGTGGTCTGGGGTGGTCTACTTTTAAATCCCTGCGTCAACGATTACTGATGAAATCATACATGTGGTGAATTACAGGACTCACAAAACAATGTCTAACATCTATAATAAATGTATATAGACACACTAAAACACCCTGGTGCAGTGTTTCCAAACATACACCCTGGACCACCTCCCCCCACCACCACCCACCACCCACCATGCTGCCAACATTTTTCCTGAGGCTTCTAGCCTTCTTGTGCCACACATTGCTGTCCCCAAGGACTTCCTGGCGCCCGACCAAATAAGGCTGATAGTGTATGTGTGTGTGTGTGCGTGTGTGTGCAACTCACACTCAAATGTCAAGTGAAACAGACTAAATAAATCTGTCTTATCAGCTGAAGGGTTAAACTGCTTGATCTCTCTCCTGTCAGCGTCCGTCTCCAGATGTGAGGACCTGGCCAGTGTCACCCTGCACATGAATGGGTATCGCTGCTGTCCCTCCCTCTCTCTCTCTCTCTCTCTCTCTCTTCAATATTATTTATACCCAGTGAATGCGTGCCTAACTGCACTTGGCACCGGGCCAGATCTATTCATATTGAAGGTATTTAGACAGGAGACAGACCAAGGATAACATTTAAATCAAAATAAACCTCAGGCAAACAACACGTCCTGCTAATTTATTTATGCTTCATGTGCTCCGCTCACAGAGAGAGGAAACCATATTGAGTTTATGGCCCTGCAGATTCATTCACAGTGGGTTTTTTTTAGTTTCTGCAGCAGTGCCTTTCCTTCTACGTCTCTTTGATGTACTCAGTGAGAAATTCATCTTCTTCATACGATGAGATGATGAAGGTGAGGGTATGGGGAAGAATAGCAGCAGCAGAACAGCTGGATTCAGTGCAACGGCTGTGATGGGAGTCACATCTGAGGGGTTATAACTCAGACCAGAGAGGGAATCAGGAGAAAACTTGTTTTGATTTCAATTAATCAGTAGATCCACGCAGCTCCTGTTCATCAGTGGCACGATGAAGATAAGTTTTGTCTGTGAGAGTACAGTTTGAAATGTTTTCCAATGCGAGGCACTTGACCATGAACCAGAGGGGACATCAGGTGATTAAGTCTAATGCTCCTGTTGGCAGTGGTTGACCTGGTGTGTCTCCAACTTGGTACATGGAAACTCCAGCTGCACAGCGTTCGCCTTGAGACTGACGCTAATGTCATGATTTAAAGAAGCCAATAACACCAATCATTTTAACACATTAAATTTTATATCACACAGCGCTAGAAAGGCATCATGGGTAAACTTGTGCATTTTCTTTGGTGTAGAAATAGCTGAACTGCTCTTGGACCCCTGTGAGTGTCAGTCGATGTTGGGTGTTGGACCCCGGCCAACACAGGTGTGCAATGAACATGCTGCAAAAATGGAAATCTTTAGGAAGATTTAATTTCATGCACGTCAGTGTGGCAAGGAATGAGATGTGATGCGGTGACATGTAAGGAGTCAAGGTATGGGGCAGAAAGGAGAACCCTCTCCTTCAGAATCTGCTGTGATTCAACAGTGGACGAATAAGTCACAGTAAAGATCACCATGCTACGACAAAATGAGATCCTATGTAACAGAAGACTGGAAAAGAACCAAAAGATGGACTGTGTCCAGGGGCCGACCTTTTGGGAGAGGTTCTAAATGGCTACAGTTTTCTAAAGTGACATGAATCTAAGAGTGAGCTCAATCTCAAAAACCTGAGTGAACAAATCAAGAACTCTGATGTTTTTTCACTGAAGTGATTGCATCTAGAATGATTTTGACCTGATCACATTTACATCTGGTGCTAATATGTGTCTCCAACGTCTGCACCGAGATCCGACTGAGATCTGATCTACTGTCCAGATGCTGCTATCAGCTGCCCAAAAAAACATCAAAAGGAAAAGAGGAGGGAGAAGAAGAAGAAAAGCCTGAGACGTCTGTAGAACCACACTGCTCTGTTTTGCTTCGCCTTTTTAATTGTTTTGATTTCCTTGCAGGTGTCTTGAACACGGTGAGAATTATAGAGAGAACCACTTCCTGTGTTTCCTGCAAACAGCCCAGCCGCTGGTTTGGAACAGTCACTTTCAATCATTATTACCCCCGAGTACATGATTTTAATGCCAATACAAATCTGATCACCAAATTCTCATTTTTAACTCAGGTGGAATCAAGAGTTGATGAAATTCTTCTTTGACAAAATGTTTTTGAAGCACTAATGTGTAAATATCGAGAGCATACAGTATAATAATGTCTGGTATTTTATATTTTAATTTATACTCATTTTAATTGTAATATGTCATTTAACGGTCTCTATTCTATTGGATTGTATAGTCTACATACTTTCACATTGCAAATTGTATTGGGGTTTTTTTTTTGTTTATTTTCCTGCTTAACCAGCTAACCCAATCTAATCTAATCCAATTATATTTCTAGAAATGGCCTTCTCTTCTTTTTCCTCTGACTGCCATCAGCATCTTCTTCTTCTTCTTTAAAGCATTGCCACATCAGATCACTTGCCTCCTCTACTGCTACATGTTGTCTTTCACTCCTTCCATGAATCTTCTGGTCTGTCTGCCTGATGACGCCTGGGTTGTGGCTGGGTGTCCGTGTTTTCTGTAGACTCCAATGTTGAGGCTGCAGCACAGTCCAGGAGAGCTGTCATGTCTTCCCTCTAACATCTTCACGGGTGAACTGGATGTTTTTGTTGACAGTGATGATGTGTAAATGAAAGGTTCCTGTTCTAGTATTAACTTAACTCAGCTGTCAGGCAGCATCTGTCAGTCGTGGATCTGAGAGCGTGGATAGTGAAGTTCATTGACTTTCATTAAGAATCTGGCTTGGTGCCTTCTCTAGGATTCCTTCCTACCTGAAGTCTTTTCACTGAAGCTGAGGCTGGTTGGAATGATGTTTTGTTGTCATCACATGTTGAAACATGGGTGCTTCCTGTAGTCACAAACCTTACTACATTTCCTCTGACACTCCCACAGTCACTGAAGGGAATCATTTCCAAAGAGAGTAGAGACACATTTATGTAGGTTTGTCTCAGCTGAAGCAGTGAAGTAGTGGACAACTGGACTGCCTTGGTTTTCCAAGATTTTTTAATATAGTTCTAATTCACTGGAGAAAAATAATTGATATATTTTGTCGACTGTGTTGATGTGTTCCGTGAAATGTTAGTGGGCTACAGTATGTACGATGACAAATAAAACTTTGGTTTCCTCTGTGCCTTCTGAATTTTATAATAACTCTTTAGTGCTATAAAGTTTGTTAGCTAAAGGATGTTAGCCAATAGTAGCCTCAGGAAACATGTCACAGATTGGTTTCACTCCTGTTAATCACAGACGTTAACATAAACGGTCCAGCGACGACACAATCTGAGAAATCGCTTTAGAGAATTGCAGCAACTGCAGGAGGGATAATAGTGACATTTGAAGCTCCTAAAACCCATGTAGTCTCTTGGATAGTATTTGGCTAACCTGATGCCTGCTCTTAAGATTAGCATTTTCTCTCTACATCACCTTATGAATGCTTTGGTCCATTCACCCAAAAAAAAAAGAAAAAAAAGAAAAAAGAAAACAGCCTTTCCTCGCAGGCAGGGAGGGAGGCTTTATGGCTGGATAATCATTAATGGCTTTTCCATCTAGAACCCTCCTTCCAAAATGACATTATTCATGAACTTGTCATGTACAATTGCAAAGACGACTTTCTGGTAAATGTCATTTTAATCCTTGGAAAAATTGACTTTCACAAATCCACGTATATGAAAACAAATTTCAGATTTTTTGGGGCTTCATCATGAACGCCTCCTACACTAAGCCTTAAAGCCATAAAACTTATTTGAAAAAAGGATTGTCTATCATTGTTTTTTGATTTTTATCGTTTATATATTTGATTTTAAAGGTCCTTCATTGTCATCGTCATCAATATTTATATCCTTATAAATATTATACATGTACCACAGTTTTTAAGTAGGTTGGAAACCAATAAAACAAATGTGATTGGTTCAGGTGTCATGTATCCAGCAAGGCATTTCAATCTCTGTAGTTTTTAACTACCACATTTACAAAACCTAAATTATGCTGTTCTCAAACATGTTTCCTATTTGTCCACTCAAGGGAATTGCTATTTTATGCAAAACAGCATACCATTGGTGTCTTTTTTTTTTTAGTTCAGCTGTGTTTAGAGCCCTCTCTACTGGATCACATGACTGGTTCTTTGAGAAAACCCAGCTGCACCGCATCAGGGCACTTTAAATTCATATTTCAAATATTTCATTCGTATTTAAAGTGACATTTTTTCACAGTGACGTGTGTTATTTGTGGTCAACAGTTCTACGTGTGCCAGGTTTTAAATCAGGCAGTGAATTGAAAGTGAGGCTTTCCACTAAACATGCCCCAATAAACTTTATCTTTGGATCAGCATTTGTATCATTTTCAAAATGAGAAAGAAAAAAACAGTTCCTAGAATTAACTGTATTGTGGCACAGTTTCTAGGTTTTTTAGGCACTGCCTTCTTTTGAACTACTGCCACTCTGTGATGAAATATGAAAGAAAACAACTGTATGGGGTGTTCTGGCTGCAGATGATCTGGATCTGAAACTGGGGGAATATCTGTGGTCGTTGTGAATCTAACTCGAGATTTGCTCTTCAACTGTTATATATGTTTAAACAAAGTCACCGAAAGCAGATTTAAAACAGTATTCCAGAGCTCAGAGACCCAGCAAAGCATGATGGGACTCTTTTTTTTCCAAAACAATCACAAGCACACGTGACGGCGCTAATGAACTTCACACTCGTGATAAATGGACACACTCAGGTGTGTCTCTGACACTTACTCTCTGATGGGTAAAAGGGCTGCATGTCAATCTTGTACACCTCCTTGGCGTAGTACTCCTCCTCGCTGCGCTGCCGCTCACACGTCGCTGCCCGTTCGTTGGCTTTCTCCAGCAGCAGGTCTCTGGTGCTGTTGTATATGGCCACAATGTCCCGGGACACCTCCTCCGGCTCTGGGTACTCCTCTGGCGGACTGGTGAGCTTCAGCTTGCTCAGGATCTGGCCCCGGATGGCCCGGATGCGCTTCTTCTTGAACTGATCCATGTCCAGCGTACTGCATGTGGACAGACTGAACGCCACGGTGGCTAGATCCAAAGTGAGGAGAAGACTGACTACACACAGGTTCATTTTTCTCCCAAGGTATGTTTTAAAACTAAATTTAGAAGGTTCTATTAAAAATATGTACTTCACTGGTATTAATGGTTGTCAGACAGCCGCTATTTTGCGTAAAACTGTAAGTGAAGCTGATTTACGCACAGGAGCCCACTGGCCCCAAGCAGGTATCTGAAACAGGATGAGTCTAACTTTTCAGTCTCATTAAAATATCCATGAAAATCCATTCATTAGCGCCCAAAGGCAAAACGAAGACGTTCTTAGAAAAGCCGTAGGTCGGTTCCCCTGTGAGGAGCCGCTGGATGTTCTCTGAGCTGACTGTGCAAGTGCGTGGATGAAAAGCCGGCAGCGCACCTCCACTGCATCCGCTCCCACTGCACCGTAGATCAGATTCTTCTCCTCCTCAACTTGACAGATTCATTCCTTCTTGTTCCAAAAACCATCACCAAAACAGACGCACTTCAGAATCTGGTCCTGAGGTCAGCGGGGGAGCCCGGTACTTAGGAGTCCACGCAGAGTCAGATGAGTTAAGAAAACAACCGTCCGCTCTGAGTCGGGCTTTGATGCGACTGATCCGGTGCGCTTTGACGCGTCTTCTCCCCCGCTCTCACTCACCCCATCTAGTTGGAGAATGACTGGACTTTTACGCGTGCCAAGTGGTCAGCAGTGGCCGCCTATGGATTACCACGTGTTCCCTCCTTCACCCGCTTCACAGTGAGACTTTGGTCATCACTGAGCAGAAGAGAGCCGAACCACTCCACCTCACCAGAGTGTTTATTGGAAATAAACGGAGTAAATAGAAGTGCTGGCTGAGCCCTCAGAACTACGCTGCAGCGGCGGATGCCACTTTGGCCAGTGGTGCGTCTTGACGCTGGGTCCTAAAGCCGGTCATTGAACCACCGCAACCACTAAAATCCAACTACGTTGTTTGCTCTGGTTTAGATCAGTGGTTCTTTCTAATTTCTAAATTAATTGGCGTTAATTAAAAAAAAAACACCCAAGTGAAATACAAGTAATAAATAAATATGTTTATGGAATTATCTCCTCGATTTATTTATAATCACATTTTAATATTAATACCAGATCTCTCTGAACATTTCTCTTTTGTTCAAATAAGATTCTACAATGGCATATTTACAGAAAAATGCTAATGACACAATAATTACAGTCAGAATGAGTTTAAAGGGAACATCCATGTAATGCAATTCTTACCTTAGGGGGTCCCCACCCCCCTGTCTGGGGACTAGTGCCAGTCTGTAGGTCATTTGAAAAAATGGTTGGGGGCTGCTTCTTTAAAGCACATGCCAAAGAAAGAAGTAGTGAAAATAAAAAGTGTTGTTGCTGAGTTAAAGGCTGTCACTTGTATGGAAAAAACAACAACAGTGTTCAGCGTTAGATTAGATAGAGCCAAAAACATAGATCGTGATTCACTCACTCCTGGATCATTTAACAAGGCTGGAGTGTAACACATCTGAGCCTAATGTCACCGCGTGTATCCAGGCCAGATTCTGATGCACTCATTTGATCTGCTGTTTTTCCATGTTCTAACATTTATACAGTTTCTAGCCTGAAGGCCAAACTCATCTCTGTGGTTTTACATCAATCCAAACTGAAGTCTGTGTACAAACAAACTATATATTCATTTCATTTTGATCTAACAACAAACCACTCTTTCTGCTGCAACAAACCAAACCTTTGGCCAAGGCATTTCCCTAAGAACAACTTGTATTTATTTCATTTTATCCCTGTCTTCCTTGGTTTTCTCTGGTGACTTCCTGGATAATGACTGTATGAGTATATAGAAAATTGGCACTGAAGTTTCAAACCAGTGGCAAGTGCCAGTGTAATTGGGGTTTCTGTCAGTGGTGTTGTTGTCAATCTGTTACTCTGTGTTTTGTAGATCATTTATTATATTTGGAGGGCAGACTCCAAACAAATAGAGTTCAGGGTCTTGGGTTCAATCTGTGGTCCAACTCAGACATTACTTACACTTAAAGTAAATGAGAACTTAATTTCCTCTTTGTTGTAGATTTTGGTAATGCCATATTGTCATTGAGACAGAAAGATTAAATCTAGAGAAAGTGAACAGTGAAATGGCAATCGTTGCTTTAAACCAAAGACTCAAGCAGATACGTTTAGATCATGGTTGTCTAAACCTTTAAATGTGAAGGCAGATGGTGTAGCAACATGCCACCCCCCGACCCCCTTAATTCTGTGCTGCTCACTGTACTTCTAAAATACAGTTTTGTACATAGATTTTTTTGCTATTGCATTTAATATAAAATAAATTACAGTTTTCAAGACAACTGCATCCAATGGTTATGCTTGATTGTGATTGTTGTTGCAGAGTCTTGGTACTACTGGTATGGTGAGATGTAGTGTAAGGTGGTGATTACAATGTCATTGTTTAGGGATATACAGGCTGTTGGCCAAACAAACCTATCCAATGACCACAAAAAGGCCCCAACCAGAGGTTTAATATACCTGGGAAAGTAAGACTGCGATAAATGTATAATTGGTCAAGAACAGCTGATAGGATGCCATGTTGGTAATTACATTGTTCTGATTGTCAACTGATTAGCTGGTGTAACCTGCTGCTCAGTTCACGTTGGTCTTCTCCTGTTGTTTACCAGCTCCTTTTTTACATTTACAGACCAATGTTTTTTTATTATGATTTGCCAGGGCCTGTCGTCGGCCGTGGGTTCTTTATCCAACAAGAGGCAGCCATCTATCAGGCTCGACAGCTGCTCTCAGACTCTCTGCACCCACAAGCTGCTGCAAACCAGATGCTGTCACTAAATCAGTAGCCACAGTGACAGATGTGAGAAAAAAAACGAGGTGTGTGTGTATATGTGTGTGTGTGTTTTCAGCAGCAGCTGGATGTTCTCTCACCCTAATCTAATCAGTACAAAGATTTACAGTCTGTTAGTTGGGATTGTTTTACCCAGGGTTTGTACAAATTTTGTAGACTGCAGTCAAAGTAATTGTACTATAAACATAACATGTACACACTGCCCTAATTACAGACTGTGTATAAGAAATGGACATAGACATATGGTTGCCAAAGTGAATTGACTAATGTTGGCCAGAAGTGGCTCTGCTAATGGGGGAAGTACTGAAACACCCATATGAATTCCATTCTTTCTAGAGATTGTTTTATGTGACATCAGAACTGCACTCAAACATAGACAATTTAATTGGAGGCTTTCAACCTGGTCTAGTTTGATTTAACCTGTTAATGTAGTAACCACATGCTGTAGCAGAGGGCAGTATAAGTGCACCATACAGCACATTTAAACCCCCTCTCCTGATGTCATCAAAAGAAGATTGACACCTTTTTTTGCTGTTATCATGTAAGGTCCAGTATCCTTCTATTTAGTTGACTCCATTTCTTGTGTCAGTTTAACAGATTAGGACAGATGCTGCTTTTCCATCCTTGTGTTGCCTGTGCACCATTTTATCTAACACCTGTCACAGGGCAGTCAAGTCTTCAAAGAGAGCATACAGCAGTTTGGAGGATACAATATTTAATTGTTTATTAAACCACAACTGTACAAAACATTACTATTTACAGAAGAGTAAAAACTGATGTTTGGTGATGTGTTTGGTGACAAAAAGATTTCCTCTTATGCAAGATTTCAGAGCCCTCCCCATCTGGCCTGGGATTCCCTTTCCTCAGTCTGTCCAAAACGGCATCACAGCGTTCGGTGTGTACAAAAGGTCTAAATCAGTCAGAATCACTTTCCTCCGCTCCCCCTCCAGTCTGTGTATCTGCTTCTCCATCACTGTCCTTGTCCCAGTCTTTCATGGTGCCTCCCATCATGTAGTCGTCTCTGAGGACACTCCAGGCGGGTTTCTCATCTGCTGCTGCAGCCTGACAGTCAACACACACACATGCACATATTACTACAGTACAGACGATGCGATTCTTCTCTGCTCTTCAATATAGTTCACATGTGCGCTTTTGATCTTATGATGCAACAGTGACACCATGTGAGCTGTCAGTAAAACTACACTTTATAGATATAAGTGTTGCTGGGAATTTTTACTCTTTTCCTTTCCTTTTTTTCCCCTTTTTTGGTGTTATTCTGTAATTAATTAATGAAAATAATTAATTTATTATCATTATGTGATCATGATATTCTAATGTATTAAATTATAATCTATTTCATGACAACTTGAGCTGCAATGAAATGCATTGTTGCAAAAAAAAAAAAACAAACAAAAAAAAAACACACAAGAAGTGGTTGAACTCACCTTAGTCTTTTCTTCTTTGCTGCTCACTCCCTCTGTCCTTCTCAACACATCAATGAAGTCTCTTTTGGAGACAGAAGAAAGAATCTTGGCCTTCTTTCTTTCCGAGCCTCCAACTTCCTTCAGCTTGTCATCGACAGTTTTCTGGTGTTTCTTGACAGCGTTGAACAGCTGCACAACCCCTCTGATACAAAAACATATATATCCTTAGCTCAAAGTTAACACAATAGTTTCAACACACTTAGTTTAAAGAATGTAGCAGACACCTGGTGGCGATCCTTTGTAGAGCTCTCTCAGTCTCTCTGTCCTTCACTATGTCAGGTTTTTCTCTGGACATCATTTCCCAGGCACGTTTTTTGTCAATCTTTTGAGCACAAATAAAGTTTTACTTTACATTTGTTGTTTACGTTCTACTTTCAAATTGCACTGCAAGTGTTCATGAACTCATTACCTGTTGCTTTCTCTCGAGCTGCTCCTGTCGTTCCCGCTCTTTCACTTTGTCCAGCTCTTTGTTCTTGATGAGGATGGTGCTTTTGTTCTCTGCAGTTTTCTTCCCCAAGATCTTTGCCATGGCCTCTGCCCATCCAACATTGGCATTACCCTCACCTTCCTCCTCATCTTCTCCATCTTCATCCTCTGCCACACCTCCGTCACTCTCTTCATTTTCTGACCCTTCTTCTACATTTTCCTCTTCTCCAGAACCACTCTGTTCATTGATGTCTTCATACTGAATCTCTTCACTGTGCTCTGTTACACAAATAAAAGATAGAGAAATAGTTACATTTACAGAGATCAATTACTACGAACAAATTTAAATACACAGTCGCCCTCTTGTGACAGACTAAGGGTACTTTACTAAAAAAATACCCGACAACATTAATTCATGAAAGTGTATGGTTTTCATTTCCCAACTTTAACAACAATCGCCATAGGACACAAAATGAGTACTTTTTCGAGAATACTCAGTGTGTATTAAAGGAGCAGTACTAATGAAGCAAATTCCACCTACGTCCTCGCACCAGCTGTGGTTACTCAGAGGCTAAAGCCTCGGCTATGTTAAGCTAATCTAAGCTATGTCAACCGAAAAAACACCTCCATCCCCGCAACGAACATTTTTCCGACATAAACAGACAGCACGTTGTGAGATTCACGTTAAATGTAAAAAACACAGCTCAAAAACTCACCCTGAAACTGCACATGTTTTTTCACCACAGCTGCCATTTTTGTGTTTACTTTGAAATGGCTCCGTCAAGAGCAAGCACCTAGAAAGAAGCAATGTTCCGTTCCTACCACTTCCGTTCTACAATCGAACTCAGTTGTTTTTCTCAGTTCTAGTTCAAACAACTGTTTTGTAATGCTTTATAGAACATCAAACACGTCATTAAAATATACAAAAGTTATATATAATATTACGTTTTCCGTAAATCCAATATGTATGTTTGTGTTTAATATGACTGATTTTAATACTAAGATAAACAGGTCACATTACAAAAAGGTTAATGTAATTACAGTATATATGTTATTACACATTGATACAGTATGTTTGTCTGTAAAACAGTATACAGTGTGTTTATCATATCATATTCACCATTTTAACTATCCTTCTTCTCTAGGCCTTTCCAATGTCTCTATGGTTTTAACTCACACCATTGTAGAGTTTTTATACTTCAACCAGCCTACTCAGATTTTCTGTTTACAGATTTTACATTTTAACACCAATTGACTTTATTTATGATGGCAACATCTTGTTTAATATCCTACATAAACATGTGAAGATATATTATATGCTGTTACCATTGTACTATGACAATGGAATGACATGAGTCAGTTATATAAAATATCTGTCTGAACTCTAGGCTTGTTTCTATTCGTTGTCTGAATTTGAACTGCATTTGACATCATAATAAGACCAGTTTGCACAAGAATGCAGGGCATCTATGAGCAGTTACACAGTCAGATCCTGCTGTTCAGGATCACCTGAAGGGCAGATACAGGTTAGACAAACCGGTCGTGGGAGTGTCCTGTGTTGCCTGCTGTCTAATAAAAACAGGAAGAAGAAAAACAGGTGAAAGAAGCTTTTTAACCACAGTGTTGGAACCAGAAACTCACCT